TAACTAGGAGAGCAGATCTTTTAAGTTCTCATCATGAGAAAAAAACCTGCAACTGCGATGGTGATGAATATTCACGGGACTTACTGACGTGATCATTTTGCAATATATACAAATACTGAGTCATTACCTTATATATGTGAAATATGTTATGCCAATTATACCTCAATTTAAAAAAAGTACTAATTGATTAAGGAAGTATTTTGGAGAAATAAATTTGCTTCATCTACTACTTTAAGTCGTGTAATATTATCCATTGTAACTACTCACAGCTGACCCTTGAACACCAGTTTGAACTGCATGGGTCGGTCCACTTATACAGATTTTTTAAAAATAAAGTACAGTACTATAAATGTGTTTTCTCTTAAGGTTTTGAATATTTTTTCTCCAGCCTACTTTGTTGTAATAACAGTAATACATACAAAAAATGTGTTCATCAACGGCTTACATTATTGGTAAGACTTCTTGGCCAACAATAGGCTATTAGAAGTTTTGGGGGGAGTCAAAAGACTGTGGGGAGTCTGGGCCCTTTACCCCTGTGATTTTCAAGGGTCAGCTGTAATTATGACTGCAGCTGACACTCTAGACGTTCAATCTTTTCAACAAACATCGAAGGCCCTCCCTGCAAAGTACAGGGTATGGTACTATGAACACTACAAAGACAATAAGAAACAGTCCTTGCCTCAGGACTTCCTCAGGAAGGTAGGATCTAGTTAAGGCTATAAAAAAGCTCATATAGGGGCACCAGGGTGGCTCAGTCTGCTAAGCATCCGACTTCAGTTCAGGTCATGATCTCGAGGTTCGTGGGTTTGAGGCCCAGGTCGGGTTCTGTGCTAATGGCTGAGCCTGGAGCCTGCTTCGGATTCTGTGTCTCCCTCTCTCTCTGCCCCTCCCCCGCTCACACTGTCTCTCTCTCAAAAATAAACATTAAAATTTTTTTTTAAAAAACTCACACTCCTAGAAACAGAAAAGTGGCTGCCAGGGGCTACCAGGGAGGGAGAAAGGGAGACGTTGGTAAAAGGGGATAAACTTTCACTCTAAGATGAACAGGTCTGAGGGTCCAAGGTTGACAGTACTATATTGTACAACTGAAATCTAAGAGAACTTAAATGTTCTTACCAAAGATAACTCAGTGAAGTGTTAATGGGGGATATCTTTTCACAATGAATACATGTATCAAATCACCATGATGTAAGTTTTAAATATCTTACAATGTATATGGCACTTTAACCTCAATAAACCACACACACACATCCAAAGCATGAATAAAAAGATATAGAAGAAACTGATTTTTGTGTAGCCCTCCAAAGCTCCAACCCATCTAACAAAATCTGATTTGCTAATATCTAACTTGTTAGGGTGAATATAAATCAAAATTTTCTCCTTAGGAGGGTAGTAATGAATTTTAAAAAGACGAGGAAACACTGTAATAAGGGACGGAGAGGCCCTAATTAGCAGTATAGGACAATGAAGGAGGTTAGAGGGAAGCCTAAAAAATGTCAGATGTGTATCTATCTATATATACTGTTATATACACCTTAGCTATTAGACTATCTATCTTATAATAGCCATAGAAACAGATCTTTCAACATAGTGTTCCTTACTGAAAAATCAGAAAAAAATTTGAATACAGCATTGTATTTCAGCCAGGAAAATCACTACTTCTGTGTTCAGAAATAGACCAAAGACAACACAGATGAGAATGCGCTGACGCATTTTGATTTGATTATTCTACCAGAAATAGGTTTTTTGTTTGTTTTTTCCTGAAAGTGTAATCATTACAGCAGTCCATCCCCACAGGGAAATGAGCTCAAGTGATCTTCCACAATTTCTCTCCATGCACCAGTCACGCTGACGTGAAAAATAAACCTGAGTCAACTTGAAAACATTTTTCACATAAAAATATTAATAAGGCTTAGCTGAGCATTCAAATTAAATCAAGAAGCAGAGGAAAAACAAACAAACAACAACAACGCTTTCTGAAGTATCTATGGGGTGCCTGGGTGGCTCAGTCCCTGGTTAAGCGTCTGCTTTTATCTCAGGTCACGATATCAGTTTGTGAGTTCAGGCCCTGAATCAGGCTCTGTGCTGACAGCTAGGAGCCTGGAGCCTGCTTCGGATTCTGTGTCTCCTTCTCTCTCTACCCCTCCTGGGCTCACGCTCTGTCTCCTTCTCTCTCAAAAATGAATAAACACTAAAAAAAAAATCAAAATATCTAAAATAAATATATTAGAAACGCAGATGAATGTACCAGAGCTACGTGGGTCTGAACCAGTGTTGTTTGGGCCCCAAATAGCAAACTCCCTTTCCTAGAGGTATCAAGTGACCTGGGACACCCTTAGCTGTTGAAACTTGTCAACACTGATGTAAGTATTGGTTATAAGCATTAAGAGGTCTTAGTGAATGGGAAGGCATTGCTAGGACCTCCCCCTCTAGGATTTCAGGGAAGACTCATGTTTAACAAGCAATGGTATCTGAGGGGCAAGAGGAACCAACATCGGTCACCAGGATAAAAAAGTTCCTAAGCACTTAATTTTCCTTTGAAACAAGAACACGAACAACAAATGTTCAAACAACACTACATGCAATGTCTAGGGAACAAAAGGGAGCTTAGAAGGGCAAAACCTCACAAACCTGTGTGCCACGTTCTACAGGGGGTGTAAAATAGTTATGTGTTCTTATTCAGCTAGAAGGATTCAATCCCTTCCCCCCTCTCCACCTGTCCCCGTCCCCCCAAGTTCAGGACAGGGGAGATACTTAGCACAAAAGACACAAGGTGCATTTCTGTTCTTACCTTCGAGTAGGCTCTAACATGTTATTAAGCTCTTTGTTTTGTAATTCTTTCCCTGAAAATACCCAGGTTTTCTTCCATCTAGTAGGAATCCCACAAAGCTAGTGCCACCACACAAAGGTTCTCAACTTCGGCAAACAAAATGGAGAGGCTTAATTTTCTGGGAAGACAGGGAAGTCCCCATTCTCCCCAGCAGTTAGAGAATTATTTATTATTAATGGCATGAATGTAGATGCTCAGGAAGAGGGACCTATGTTCTGCACATTTTTTAATATTTGTTACGTTTTTTTCAATTTTTTAAATTTCTGAGTGAGGGAGATGCAGAGCAGGAGCAGGGGAGGGGCAGAGAGAGAGGGAGACACAGAATCAGAAGCAGGCTCCAGGCTGTGAGCTGTAAGCACAAAGCCCAATGAGGGGCTCGAACCCATGAGCTGTGAGATCATGACCTGAACTGAAGTTGGATGCTTAAGTGACTTGAGCCACCCAGGCGCCCCTTAACATTTGTTCTTAATGTTATCCCCTTATATTCTTCAATTTTTTTTGCATCTTCAAGATGTGAAGAACCCCCTGACGTCGACAGTAGCACTGAGAGGAGGCCCACTCAGTTTGGTAACTGATCTGCTGGGTTACAAAGTGAACGGAATCTCCACGAGGCACAAGCAGCAGCACGTGAACGCATCACTATAAACACTAAGACTGTCCGTTCATACAGTTTATTTCACTAGACTGCAAATTTATACACAGTACGAAGGGGTTTCCTGATAGCACGCATACAGTTTACTTTCTGTACTGCTGAAGAACCAATTGTTTTTGTTTTTTTTTTTTTACATTATATCGTGATACCCTATCGTTAAAACGTTATTCAGTGAATTTTTTCCAACTACATATAAACGGAGATTTACCACACACACGGTGCAAGAATGTCTTTATAACATATTTGAATCACAAGATGTGAATCTAAAATACATCACTGTAATTAGAACACTACTTTAAAAATACAATGCCCCACGTTATATTAGCCAGATCGGATTAATCTCTGTATACGTCACAAAGCAGTTCAGTGGATAGCTTCTCGGATAACTGGCAGCAGCTTTGAACTAGGATATCAAAAGAAATCTTTAGGAATCAATTTTGAAGTTTAAAAACCTCTTCCTTTATGTACTCGATATTTTCAGAATCAAAATGGGACACTTAAAAATTTATAGTCTCTAACACAAGAAGAAATCCATCCCTCCCTTAGCCGAAAGGCTGGGGTTGTAATACTAGGTTTTGTAAGACATCTGAGAAAAGCATCGTACGGGGAGTGGAAATGAGTGAAAAAGAGACATAACATTTCTTGAAAAGCATTTTGGATTCCTCTGTCTTCCCTGCCTCTGTCAAACATAAAGAATACTGCGTTACAAAAAAAGATAGGTTTCCATAAGATGACGTTCTAAAGAAAATGTATGTAAACAAGTCAGAGAGAAGGATTTCTTCATTTTCCCATTTTGTAGACTGGGGCAGTGGGAAGATATCAGTTAAATAATAGAACTCCTTAGTCAACCACTTCACACACAAAACAGCTAGGGATAATTGCTGACAATTTCTCATGTGTTTCCTTTTCTTTCCCCCAAAGTTTGAGAATGTTTGAAAGTTCAATAAATAGTAGAAAAATAATCCTTTACTTAGAAATTTTGAGATGCATCATTTAGAGCTTAACAGGAGTTCCATACAGCAACTGTGGTATCTAGGTACCGCCAGAAACAAAGCGAGATCTTCCGAAAGCACACATTTCTGTCTGGATGTGCCACGTTCCCAGTCTCCGTCTGGGCACACTTGTCTCTCTTCCAGTTAAGGAGAGCCGAATGTTTCTGGCTCCTTGGGACATTCCTCTGGCTCAGCTTAACGAAGGTTCCCAATGTTTCGTTTATGGGTCTCGCCTCTGTGTTTGGAGGTTTGCCTTCTGCTCCACCCCATTGGTATTATGGCAGGTTCGTTAATCAGGCTTACTTCCCCTCCATTTCAGAACCAGCTTCGCACTTTCACAAACGTGATTTTGTTGTTGTTCCTCATTCCGAAACACATTTGACAGGCAGCAAGTGAGTTAAACCGCTCTGGACAAAGCACGAACACAAGGGGTCTCTTGCTGTGGATTATCTGATGCTGGCTCTTCTTCCCTCCAGAACATTCTGTACCTCCCAGCTCCCATCTTCTCGTGGAGGTCAGGAGAGTGTTAGCACTCTGCATCAACGGTGTGTACTGTCACGGCCGCCTGCAAGTGGTGGCTGTGGTGCGGCGTGGGGTGGTGGGAGCGGTAGTGGTGGAATTTGTGACTTAGCAGGGCGGCCGTCTGGGGCGGGGCGTCCAGATCCAAGTCCTCGTCGTGGTTCCCCACATCCACCCCAGCTGACAAGGGGTCATTGTTGCACGGGGGGTTTTCACTATCTTCCTGTGGGCTCATGGTGCTGTAACCTAGAAAATGAACAGAACAAGCAGCTGAGAGCTTCCAGACACAGGGAGAGGTGACTGAAGATTTCTAGGGCACGGGGAGATGTTCCTATCTTTGTGTTACATGGGTGCAAACGTCCGCAGGCTGCCAGCAGACGTCAAAGTGGCTTATTTTTGAAGAGATCTTTTGTTAGCTGTTTCTCCACTGTGCCACTGCCCCCCCCAACAATTACACAATAAAAAATTTTAGACACCTGAGAAAGTACAGATAAGAAAAAATATATATATATAGGAAGCTTTTTCCCAAATCCCCAAATCAACACAACAAAAACTAAAATCATCGCTCTTCCCACCTGATCCACAGATAACTACCATTGACATTTGGGATTATCCTCCTACACTTTTCCCTGAGATAAGATTAACTTTATTTGAATGAATAAATGAATGAATGAATGAATGAATGAAAGAAAAAAGAGAAAGAAAGAAGGGAGAAAGGGAGAAAAAGAAAAAGTAGGGAGAAAGAAAAATAAAAAAGGCAGCTTCAAAAAAAAAAAAAAAAAAAAAAAAAAAAAAAAAAGAAAGAAAGAAAAGAAAAAAGGAAAACAAAGTCCTAATAGGATTCAAATCAAGTTGGGGGCTGGTGGAGAAAGCTGGGCTTCAACAGGCCTGCACGTGATCTCACAGCAAGGACAAAAACAAGTGTCTCCACTGTGTGTATATCTGTTCTACGGCACACACCGGTGTCTTGGAATTCCTACACACAAATTATACAAGTGAGGGAAATGATGATCAGAGGTTAATGAACTTGCCCAAAGTTCCAGTACCTGATGGGATACGAACTCCACATATACCCATAGCAACTAGCAAAGGAATCAACTATTCTCTGTGTAAGCTGGCTCACTGTATTTAAAGATTAATTTCTTTTGGTATTCTAAGTAATACACGTTTCAAAAGAAAATGCCCTTGCTGATCAAAGGATTCCATTCCAAGAACTCTGGCATGTTTTTAAATATTGCAAAAATCCCCTTTAAAATTTTTGAGAAGTGACAGCTCATTAATATTTCCACTGCATCTACAGTTAGCATCAATCAGAGCTCACCCATGGGTAGTGCTAGTCACATTTGTGGTGCAAAATTGATGTGCTTGCATACAGCCAAGCAAGAATGGGATATGGCTGAAAATGTATGCTGGGTGCAAAAATGAGAAAGGCAACTCTGTCCTCAATGAACCATTTTGCAAATGACAGAATTATTTAAGTCAGTCTAACTCCAGAAATATTTATTGGGCACCTACTATGTACAAGATACTGTGTTAGGCATTGCAGGAGACACCAAGGTGAAAATCTGCTCCCTGCACAAGGAGCTTAAAAGCTAGAGTTTGAGAAATAAAATGAATACAAGCATAGATCCGTTCAATTATTCATTCATTGAAGACCATTATGCAGCCAGAGAGGGAGGCTATAAAACATGAATAAGAGATGTCTCTTTTCCTTAAGGATTTCACAACCGAACAGGAGACATATTTGTGAAGCTGGGTTTATTCTAATGCAGATAATGATAAGTGCTATAGTTGAGGTATAACTGGTATTGAGAACATGGAATAACTAATTCCGGCTGGAAGAATGAGAAAGCTCCACAGAAAAACTCCTATTTCAGTTGGGCTTAAAAGGATATGTAGGAGTTTGGTAAGTGGATAGGAGCAAGGGAACAGGAGCACAGCCTAGAGGTGTGGAAAGCCAAGGCCACTGCTGTACCATGTGGCTAGGACAGGTGCAGGTAGGCAGTTGGAGAACGTGGCAGGAGAGAGGTGGAAAGGTGAGTTACAGTCAGATTATAAAGGCCAAAGCAGAGAAAATGGAGGAACAATACATTTTGAACAGACTGAAAAAAAAAATAGCATGACAATTTCTGTGTTTCAGAGAGAGTTCTCGTGGCAGTTTGGAAGATGAATAAAAAGGAAATAGAGGGGACAGTTGGGAGGTTATTGCAACAGCCCAGATGACAGACTAAGAATTAAAACTAGGGGTATGGGATTAGGCAGATTTAAAAGTATCTCAGAGGTGGAAACAATAGAAGTTGGCAAGCAGTTAAAAGTTAGGGGGGTTTGGGAGTGATGACTTTGAGTCAGGATGAAAAGACTCGGAGATCCCAAGTGTCAGGGATGAAGGGGGCAGAAGAGGGTGAAGTTCATGGACATAGGCGTCTATCATCACTGAGTGTCTCCTTGGTGCCAGGTGGGGGGCTCAATCAAAAAAGGGGTAAGGGGGAAGCTCCAGCTCCCAAGAAGCCCATAGTCAAGAAGGGGAAAAAAAGGTATTCAAACAGAGGCACATGGAGAGGGATACCAAAGCTGATTAACTTGGCTTAGGACAACTTACGAGGACACTTAAAGTGGCCCTCATGGGAGAGAAGGGGTTCATTAGGTAAAGAGCGGGGTGGAAAGGTACTGCAGGCTGGGAGATGAGCAAATGCCAAGACACAACAGCCCGAGAGCCTCTAGGGGCTTTGGGGATGATAACAAGCTCGGTATGGGGGAGAAAGCAGCAGGAGAGGAGACTGAACATGCAGGCTCAGACCAGATCAGGAAGTCTGGCTGAGCTAGGAGCTGGGATTTAGCAACAGGCCAGAGGTAGGGGAGGGTGCAAGGACATAACATATGCTTGAAGATGATCACTTGTGGCAGTGAGGTGGCTGGAAAGAAGGTGGGACTGAGGCTCAGAGGACAGGAGGCTGTGGTGCTGGCCCAAGGAGATGATGAGGACCTCAAGTGGGCCAGCGGCTGTGTTACGTAGGGCAAGCGGCCGGCTTCAAGACACTGTTCGAGCTCAGAGTAGGTTGCCTTTGGTGGCCCAACTGACTTCCCTGGGGGGAAGATCTAGGTTGACACCCTTGGATAAGGTTGAGGTTTCTAGGTTCAGGGCTGGGGAAACAGTGATGCCTTTTCTCAAGAATCAGGAGCCAGAATGGGATTCTCAGCTTCAGCAGGGCTCGGTCTGGAACGTGAGACTGGATGGTGGACGCTGAAGCCCCAGTTACAGAGTGCTGCGTGTGCTTAAGCTGCCATGTGCTTCACACGTAGGGGACTCAAGTAGAAGACACACTTTTAGCAAAATCTCAGCATCTATGTTGATGATTGTTGGCCAACCTTTAGTGCTAGGCTGTCTTTATCTTGCCTCCAAGTACCTCCTGAAGGGTTTCCCATCTCCACTCATTTACAAGCACCCATAGAAACTGTTAACTCATTTTCACATTCCTGGTGTAAAATTCATGACAGGCCTTCTGCCGGGTTCACCCTCCCCCCTTCCATCATCCGGCTATTGTCCTTCATGCTTCAGTTTTTAAAGGTCTTCTCTGGGAAGCAACCCAAACCCCCAGCACCCCATCCTGCCAGCCCACGTGGGGTCTGTTGCCCCTTCTGTGAGTTTAAATGGCATTCTGTGCACATCTCTAGCTTAGATTTTTACTATGCAATAAAACTTAGGGCTGTTGTGGCCATTAGTGAATTTCCATTTATTTTTGTACTCCTAATATTCAACGCAATGCCTCACACAGAGCAGGCACTTCATTTTTCAAAATCACATTACTATGCTCCCAAAGCAACGGTATTAAGAGTTTTTTGGGTATCTGTGGTTTTACCTGGTGTGACATTCTCATCTAACAATGAAGACGTTCCAGGATTCACTGGGCCCTGCCCAGGGGTTCCAACTTAACATGCCAGGGGTGCTCTGGACCTGGCTGGTCATAGGCTCAAGGGTGGTTTTAATGATGGAGCTGTTCCCACAGCACCTCAGGGGCACCCCCATTTCTCCTGCTCTTGCTTTCTGATGAGAACCCAAGCACAGGGTCTTCCAAAGTGAACCCCTTGCTCTGGGACATTCTGTTTTATTTTCTCAGTGTGGCAGTATTGCTCAGCCCCTCTGTAACTTACTCAAGCTTCCTCTTATCTCAATAATTAATGAAAATCTGGAGGGAGGGATAGCAAGCTGTGGAGAAGCGGGAGAAAGCCAAACACATGCTCTCACTTAACAAATTGAGTGTTTACTTAGCACCAGACAATTCTGTTGAGTGCTGGGAACAGTGATGAATAAGACAGATTCAGTATGACTCAAGGCAGAGGAAGCACTATTTAAAACACAAAGGATATCAGCCAATACTTTCAAAGGAAAAGTTTCTTACTATCCAAAGGTGTACACAGTATAGTCTCTGAAAAGGCGACCTCAAGCAAAAAGTAGGCTCAGGAAGGAGACCAGGCGACCATTGAGAACAGGAGTCAAGATCAGGCTTTTTGGTATTGTGCTTACATATTTAGCTGATGGTTCCTGAAGAAACCTCTCTGAATGGGTGGGGAGGTTAGGTCACTCTGGGGACTCACTCTCCACCTTGTGGTCACAGAGAGTAACTGTGGGAGAATATCCACGCGCCTCCAAAAAACAATGGCCCTAAGTTGCACTCTACAGTTTTTGACCAGGTTTTCAAGGCTCACCATTCACCTTTTAAGCTTTTTGGAATTTGCTTCACTAGGAGGAGGTCTCCCTTTTACAAAGAAAAAATTGTTGCTTAAATACATTTATATCCAGTTTCTAATGAGTTGGTAACTAACATGCAGATTCAAAAGGGACAAATACACATTGGTGGTTTTTAACCTAAAAATAAGCCAGTTGATGGATGGATAGAACATGAGATTTTCAGAAGAAAAAAATGGGCAGACATATAGAATTAAAGCATAAATAGGTAGTAATTGTTTTTAATTGCTACCTGCGAGTGTAACAGTAAATCGTCAAGGGCTGAAAAACAGTCATTCTAAGTGGTCTTAGAATATTGACGAAAATAATTCTACCTTTCAAAAACTATTCTTATTTTAGTATTTTTAAGGTACAAAAATTAAAATAAGATTCCTTTGAAATACAAAACTCTTTTGGCCACATGAAATACCACTGACCCCTGAGCAACTTTGAACTACATGGGTCTACTCGCAGGCTAGTTTTCCATAAATACAGGACAGGGCTGTAAATGTATTTTCTCTTATGATTTTAACATTATCTTTTCTCTAGCTTCCTTTAAGAAAACATTATATAATACATGTAACATACAAAATGTAGACTAATCCACTGTTTATGTTCTTGGTAAGGCTTCCAGTCAACAGATTATTAGTAAAGTTTTTCTTTTGGCGAGGGTGAGAAGTTATATGTGGATTTTTTTAAAATATATTTTTTTAATGTTTTATTTTTGAGAGTGAGAGAGAGTGGGAGAGGGGCAGTGAGAGAGGGAGACACAGAATCTGAAGCAGGCTCTAGGCTCTGAGCTGTCAGTACAGAGCCCCGTGCAGGGCTCAAACCCACGAACCGTGAGATCATGACCTGGGCCGAAGTCGGCCGCTTAACCAACTGAGCCAACCAGGCACCCCTAGATGTGGATTTTTGATTGCGCAAGGGTGGGGGTTGGTGTCCCTAATGCCCATGATGTTCAAAGGTCAACTGTATTTCTAAATAAAAATACAGCTTGAAGTCTACAAGTTTGGCCTGGTGACATTCAGTTTTAATTCTAGGTATATCACAATTCTGAACCACATCCTGAAAGTCTAGTCTGTTCAGTACTTATATATTTATGTGTTTTATTCCTTTGAGTTTCCTTTTGTGGATCAGACCCAAGGTAAAAATGCTCACTGGGTTGCAAAGAACCACGGTGGTACAATTTTACCCCGTCAAGGGCCAGCACCAACAGCACCAAGGCCACCTTCCCCCCAGGGGACTTCCATGATTCTCATGCAGATAAAAGTGAACTAGCTCCCTATCTTCTTTGTTCTGGTCCTTTAAGGAAGCTGTCCTATTCAGTCTTTTATCAGTCTTATGAGTACATGCATTCATTTACAGTTTTCTGCTAGATTGTACATTCCTTGAGGGCAGACTGGGTATGGAGGTGGGTAAGTCACCCTGACCTCCCACCTGCCGTATGCTATTTCATTTGGTGCTCACAACTTCACCAGGGAGACATTTCTAATCTCATTTTAATTATTAGGAAATTAAGGTCCAAAGTAGCTTCACTAAGATCTCATTACCTGTGGAGGGGGAGAGGTGGGTTCCAAGTGAGCTGTGCTTGGCCCTATAATATAAGCTCTTCCATAATCACTCGGCCTCACAGAATTGAGGCCGCCCCTTCACAAGGTCCCTCCACTGTGCCTAGCAAACAGCATAAAAGAACACAGAGCTGAGAAAGAAGGGTACTGACAAAACAACAAGATTAGATTTCCTTGTTTTCATGCGAACCTACCCATGGCCTATTCTTGGCATCACAGGGACATTAACCTGATGCCACCACTTTTAGTGACCCACCATTCAGGTTCAGGGATATGACAACATGCAGTTAAATGCTATTGATTTTTGTGGTACATTTGGAATTATGTGGAATGTCAATGTCTTCCATTTCTTTTGGTGTTGCATTCTATCTGCACGAGGAACTATTTTTCATTCCTCGGGGATAACAGGGATCCAATTATTGTGAAAAATGAAAGAAAGCAAGCCCTTAGCTAGATTCCTTAGCTTTCAGATACTGACACTGCATTACTGCTTTCATCTAAGCTGTTGCTTCATACACCATTTTACTAAGACAATGGGAGAGCTAATGGAACATTGGAAACGTCACTCAGAATTCCAATTTCGTATTGAAGCAATTTCTATCCGGGGAGAAGGAAAGAGAGAAAAAGGATTCAGTATTTCTGCTGAATAAGAAATTATTTCTGTTGAACTTTAGTAGCCTCAAACCTGTTTTATTATTCAAAGGAGAAGAGGCACAGAACTGCCTGGCAGAATGAATTTATGCAGGTTCAAAGGTTTTTAGGGGAAAAAACCCCAGAAAGTCAAAGAAACTGAAAAATTTAAGTTGTGCTTTGACTCTGCATAGAAACCTGAAGTTTCTACTTAGTTGGTTGGAACAATGTCATTCAAAGCTCAAATTAGGAACCTCCAATTTACAAATCAGAGTTTTGGCTTCTGTTTTCCAAAGGGAGTTTGAATACCTGGCTGTCATGTAAAAGGCAACACTGGTTGCCTTGACGAATATCCACTCTTGCATGTTTTAGCACAGGGCTGGGAGCTCACTGTTTGTAGACTTCCTTTTTTTTTTTTTTTCCTAGGGTAGATGTGGAGAAAGAGTCAAAAAGGTATAAATGCATTATTTATGCATTAAAAAAAGATCTGATTCTGGGAAGAAAATAAAGTTTTCTAGCAAATTAAACAAGCACATGAAAAATAAAAAGATCTTACAATTACAAAAAGTTCTTACAAGGCCCCACACTCCTGTCATGTTGTTGCGGAACACTGGCAGTGATGGCTGCAGGGCGGGACAGGTCTGCTATTCCCTGTGACGACAAGCCATCTGGATGTTGGCAAGGTAAGAAGCTAGGTGGTGGCCAAGTCTTTGGTACAGCATGTGGACTTGATAATTCACAGCCCGCTCAGCCTTAGTGCCGACCCTTTCTGAGCATCTTAGAGGCATCTTCTATAACCTCCATGACTATATACACCAGTCCGCTTGCCTCTGAATCTCCTTTGCCCCAACTTTTCTTTCATCAGCCTTTAAGCCCAGTGCAAACATTGTCTCTTTGGTGAAGGCTTCTCTGAACCTTCCAGGCAAGGCTGGAGGTCAGGATGGGGAATGCCAGAAGGAAGCATGAACTCTTGTCATGTCCAAAGTGTATACGTGGCTGAGAGAGCCCTTGAGGATGCTGGTGTTGGCCAGCTAACAACAGTGGGTAGCAGAACTGATGTGGATGCCAATTACCAAGGATCACATGGAATGGTAAGCAGGTTCCATTCAGACAATGTGAACCTTTATGCATGGAGAACACTTAGATGCAATCTGTGTGCCCAAGGGTCATCTCACTTATTCCTGCAAGTGCCGAGACAAAAATCAAAACTACCCTTGGGCTCCTAGAAATGTGCCATGTTGGAATATGTCCTTTGGAAAACTATGCCCAAGTAATGAATTTGAGCACAGAACAGGAGGGAGAAGAGGGGATGTGAGCACTGGCCCACAGGGAGCCCACCAGACTCTTCAGAAGGAGCTAGACCTTACCATGATCGCTTTCTGTTCCTGATCGACCCCAGTAGCGACGCCTCCTCTCTGGACTGTGTGCATGTCGTTCGATGACTGCAGCTATAAACCGAGTATTGCTGACTGTGGGGAGAAGACAGTTAATCACTCTTGTGCCAGTATCCTTATTGTATAGAGTACGTTTGCTCTGGGCAGGTTCATTCACACACTGGGGGGGAGCTATTCTTTGGAGAAATAGAAGAAGTAAATTATTATTATTATTATAATTTTTTTTAATTTTGAGGATTAAGGGCAGTGAGAAGTTCCACATCACAGGTCTCCAACATGCATTAAGAAGACATGTTCTACACAGTTGTAGGCCAAGGTATGTATCTCATGCTAATTGAATTCTTTTTTGATAAAGAAATGCTCTTCCCCCCTGCAACTGAATTATATACATTTAATCCCCGGAGGGATTAAAACAATGTATATCACCTGATGATTCTCTTTCTGAAATACTATGCTGGAAAGCAATGAGGAGGAGAAAGAAAAGGTAGGGTGAGGTGTTAGGACAAAGCACTTAACGAGAAAAGGAACATCAAGACTCCTTTTAAGATTTTCTAAAACAAAGCAAACACCTACACTTATTTATTCCTAATGAAAATGGGGGAGGAAAAACCCTCGCCACATTAAGATTCTTAAATCGTAATATACGCCAAAAGGGTAGAAGACAGAACATTTATTCTGGTTTAGCCTCCTGCTGACACGTTCTGCAACAAGGCAGCTTGAATACTCACTGATGCCTCTGTCCTCATGGCTGTCATCGTCCCTTTCATCTCTGTCATTCTCCAGGTTGGACATACGCACTGACATTTCTACCCACCATTAAAGAGAAAGAAACATGACTATTTAATCAAACAAAATCACCCACTTTAATACCCTGTGGAGGCCTCATTTTGACGGCTGGGTGACAGCATTCCATCAAGAACGAGTCCAAACTTGGAAAAGAATAAACTGATGTCCCATGTCCCATCCATTTTTTTTTAAAGGAGGAGGTAGCAGGAATCAAATCAGAGAGGACCAGAAATGAATAATCAAGAGAGGCACCTGAAATTAACTTCTGAAGAAAGGAGAGCAAAGAAGTTGATAGAGGCTAATGGATCTTTAATCCTCTACCAATGTACCTCAAACAGAAGGAAGGGGTCTAAAGCCATGGCTGAGTGTGCCCAGAAAATGGTGTTACAAAACCCTATTAAAAGGCCAGGTAGAAGGTAACACTGGATGACTGTCACATACTTACCAAGGGGAAATCTGGGTATCCAAATCTTACCACAGGGAAGGAGCTTTGTGATTAGTCCTGTTACTAAATCAGGCAGCATTATCCCAAGATGCCCCCCACACACACCCCACTGCCCCATCAGGATTGCGGCCACAGTGAACTATTCCAGCATCAATGTGTCCTTACTGCTGCAAGGATGAGCAAAGTGGCCCTGACCAAGTCCAGAACAATGAGTGAACCTTATCTCCATAAAGGTCAGGTTAATAAATCCCTGGGGCCTTTTACAAAACATGGGGAAGCCCATTAAATGGTTTCGTCCTTGCAAACGGGCACAGATATCCCATTTAACTCCTGGTATGGAAGCCATGATTGCAGATTAATCATTTTGTATCTGGCTCCAATGAATTCTCCTCTTCAAGAGCTGTGATTATTGCTTTGCACATGTTCCTTCACACCACAGGATAACAGCTGCAATAGAACAGACTCATGGTCTTGCCAACAGGGACCCAGGCTATCTTTGCCTCACCTGTCTGAAACAGCAAAGACAGCACATCTGAGTTGAGGGAAGAACGAAATTTCCCACTAAGCCTCCCAGTTCCCCTGCCTGGCTTATTCAAGAGGCATGCCGTGGGAGGCTAATGTGTGTAAGACAAGAGAGCATTGGGGGATTTTCTGGGGAATCAAAATGAAGCTCACAGGGTTGAGACACTAAAGAATGAGCCACGGGCTAAAGGTGGCAAGTAGGCTTTGGGGACTTCCGAATCACACTCCATGAAAGCGGAAAAGGTAGTGTTCTTAGAATTACTTAGGGGCTTACACAACTGGCCACTGTCTTTTCAGCTCTGCAAGGACACAAGGGAGGCTGCTGCCTCCCAGAGGAGCTTTGGATTCATTTGGGGCTCACCTTGGGCAGCAAGAGGAGACATGTGCTGGTGACTCCGGCGATGAATCTGATGGCGGTAGGCATACACTGCAAGGACGAGGACCATGATGCATCCCATGATGCCTCCGGCCACGGGGCCCACGGGGGCACTTTTAATCATGTTCAACGTGACCACCTCGTCACCTTTATTAAAGCAAACAAATAGATGTCCTTTGTCAAGATCTCCCAAGTGTGGTAGGAAGTGGGGATGGGGGTAGTAAGATGGAGGGGCTAGAGTGGGGTGGGGTGTGTTGAAGAGAAGAGCAGGTGCTTTAAGTTTTGAAAACCTCAAAGAAGATCCACCAGAATGTGGGAGGAGTGGCTTCTGTTAATCCCTGGTTCTCAAATTAAATGTCGGCTGCTCGGCAGAGCAGGAGCATATTTGGCAAGGACTACTAAAACAAGTGAGTAGATGAGAATCACTTAAATATGTGCTGCCCAGTGCTAAGAGCCTAGCTCCCTGGGGTGTGGGCTACTCTTGGAAGAGAAGTCATGTAGCACAGAGGTGAGGGCAGCGTGGGCCTCTTGGCACAAATTTATTGTACCTGGTGTCCTTTATGGCAACGAGTCAGTTGCAGGACTCCTAAACAGGGTCACACTTCAAAGCTTATAGGTTCCCTTTAAAACACTATTAGCACAGTCACGTAGGAAACTGCAGGTGGATATATAAAGTGATGTTTTAGAACAAGGTCACTTCAACTACGTCCTAAGCTGGTTCAGTAATAATATGTGAGCTCACGATCCTTCCTCACATAGGAGGAGTTTTTCTTCTATAGACGGGCTAATGTGGGAGGTGTTTAAAAAAATAAATAAATAAATAAGGGTTTAAATATCTCACCTCCCAGGGAAGCTTTGGGACCTTGTACTAGCTCCAGAAAGATACCGAGAAAATCTCAGAGGAGGTATGCAGGTAGTAAGTATATTTGAGGTCTTGGGGCCTGATCCCAGACACTTTCTTCCCTCCAGTATCCCTGTCCCCGACCCTAAGCTACCCATTAGATAGCTCTGGCCTCTGCTGACTCCAGGACCTGAAGTACTGACTTGTAGCCACAGAACTTCTGCCTTGCAAATATCATGAGGCAACGTTGCAGCAGGAGAGACCAATGTGCAGTGGTCACTCCACCCATCGCTGGCCCTGTTCTCCCGACAGCTGGGACTCAAATTCAAACAAACTCCATGGTTCAGCCACGCAGAAACCAGGCCTGACATTTCTCAGAACTAGCTTTATGGGAATGAATTCCAGGCTTGTAAACTTTGGCAGGATACATGGCTGCTTACTCTGCATAGAATATCTAAGCCAGCTTTGAAGGTAATTATCTGCCTTGGATTTGTAACTAAAAAACTACTGGCAAAGGAAGGAAACGGGAAACTAGGGTAGAGGATCATTTTAAGATTTTTGTCCTCGCGTAGAGGCAAAAAAAATTCGTATTCAAGAATCCAAATATTCTGGGTTCCCAACAAACATACCTATTGCTCCCAGGTCATCCACATAAGGACTTTTGGCTCCCACGATCCCCCCAAAGCATTCTTTCTGGGGTGCACAGTAGGATTTGTCCAGGTGAGTCTTTCCATCGCTGTCTACCATGCACCATTCACAATCCAGCACACCGAAGCAGTCCCTGCCAGAGAGATGATGCTGAGTGTTCCGGGAAGCTGTGCTGGGCAGGGGACAGCATATGGACTTGGGCATCAGACAGCTCTTAGGAGCTCCATTACTTACTGGTGCCGTAAGTCCTTGAGCTCTAGTTTCCTTTCCTTATACAAAGAAGAATAGCAACCATCTGCCAAGACATAGCTGTTTTATGTCTCTCAACAACATGGAAATGAGAGAAATAAAACAGTTCTGTGGATCACACCATAAAATCCACACATCACAGATTAGAAGAGGATTATTCCAAATCATCTCAAAAGACCAAGTGGCCCCAAGGTTCATTAGATTTTGGCCTGACATCCCACATGGGTAGGGTCATTTAAAAAAAAGGGGGGGGGGGAAGGAAACCTGGTCAAATCAATTTGGGAAACATGAGGCAAGTTAAACAGCTTTCTTTCCTGCCAATTTCTCAGAACTTTTAATATGTTAAGTGCATTAAGACTCTCTAAGAGGATGTGTGCAGTGTTCCTCAAATTTAGTTTTGGGGGCACCTGGGTGGCTCAGTTGGTTGAGCGTCCAACTTCGGCTCAGGTCACGATTTTGCAGTTCGTGAGTTTGAGCCCTGCGTTGGGCTCTGTGCTGACAGCTCAGAGCCTGGAGCCCGCTTCAGATTCTCTGTCTCCTTCTCTCTCTCTGCCCCTTCCCTGCTCATACTCTGTCTCTCTCTGTCTCTCAAAAATGAATAAACGTTAAAAAAATTTAGTTTTGAGTTAGTGCCTAATATCCCAAATTAATCTATCTGATGCCCTCTCATTCCTTTGCTAAAATATGCACTAAAAGCAGAACTGGCTGCCTGTTCTACCCGCTGACCGTACAACCAAATGGCAATCGGCAGCTATAATACACAGATTACCCCCACTCCCACCCCTACAGCCCACCACAGCCACTGCTCCCATGATGGCTAAGCCCAAACATCTTAGAGAGGAGGGAGATGCAGCAGGGGACACGTAGTTGTTGGTTTTTTGGTTCTCAAAGCTACCATGAAACCTATCTGCTTTCTAAAAAAGCAGAACTGATCAGCTATAACCCATAGAGCTGGGTTCTGTTTCAGGAACCCAAAAGCCCCTGCCCCTTGCCCTTGGCTTCTGTGTGCCATGTTCCCTCTCATTCCTTTTATCTAAAGAGTAACTTTCCCATCCACAGAGGAGGTGACTAATATATGGTACCAATGCCAAGCAGCTATAAAGAGTGAAAACTGGACAACATTACAACCAGTGGATAAAAGGCATACAGAAATCAATTTTGGGTCTGAAAAATTGGTACATATTTAGAAAACATCAAGAATGAGAGTAATAAATAACAGCTGGCAAAGCTCAATGAGGCTCCAGGTCGCTGTTCCTTACTAGACTCTACTCCTGCAGTGATCGTGTTGATACCAAGGCAAGCAATGGGCAATGCTTACCCACTTTCCATCCTCTGACTGCACCTGCTGTTGACACACTGGTGAAGGGCATCTTGTAGGCCAGGGTCAATAGCTGTGTATGTTACCGGTTCCTGGTGGACCTCGCAGCTTGGGTTTCTATGTAGGAACAAGTCTGGGGGTTAGGACCAATACCACTCATGTTCTAAACTCATCATGCCTCTGGTCCCCGACTGCCTCAGACAGAACAGGGTTTGAATTCTTGCCACCTATATGTAACTATATGTAACCTTGGGTCAGTCACTTAACCACTCTGGGCTTCAATTTGTTTGTCTTTATGTACAATAGAAACAATATATGTATAAAATGAAAATCATAAATATTCAAGTGAATGTTACCTCCCCTGACTCACCACTCTAAATCTTACTTTTCAGAGGTAACCACTATTAACAGTTTAATGAAGGTCCCTTTTGACATTTTCTCTATGACTAAATGAACATTTACTAGTATATCAGTATACACAGGATTCTTTCATTTAAGTTCTAGAGAAGGGACTTGCCCCAGTTTATTTGGCTGTCGTCTTAAAACTCGTCGCTAATATAAATAATGCCATATTATGTGTAAGCACATGTGTGTATAAAAGGTACCTATAGATTTATCACAAGGTTAATTTGAAAACCAAGTGACTCAATGTGCATAAAGTATCTGACACATGGCAGACACTTCGCGAATGCTTGTTAACAGTCCCCTACTTTATATGTACAGAGCACATATACTTTGAACATTTTCACAGCGTTTAAATTTAAACCTGAAAGAGGACTTCATTGGAAGGCTTGAAATCTGGCTCAGTGAACAGTTACATCATCAGAATGAATCACTTCTTATACCACAACCCAAAACAAATCTATAAATGAGGCTCCCAGGGTGCATGTATCTGTGTATGCCACATACATTTATGTAATATGTATATTTTACCGGTTCTCTGCATTGGTGAGGTTGCCAGTGCACTCATTGACCTCTAGAGGGCACTCACAGGGACATTCACATTCATTTTGTTCCATTCTGAAAGGCAGTAAGAAAATTACTATGCAGAGGGTCAATAACAAACTATATGCTGTACATGGACCAGAAGAAGTAAAATTGAAAAAAAAAAAATTCTGAGCTAGTTAAAAGGGAGAGTTAAAAGGAAGTTATGACCAAAGGTTTACACTATGATTGGCTTCCATCCATTACTTTTGGACAAGGATGCTGCGAACCACACAGCTGTTGATGCCTTTGCTACCCGGCCTTTCCTTTTCTCCATGACACGCCCCTCTGCTTTCTACTTTGCTGGTATCACTTCAAAATGACTAGCACCAGTGAGGATATTTAACAGTGTAGTATACAGAGAATAGGACCCATGGCATTTTTACCGGTGACAGTTGAGACAGAGACGATCGACCATGCTACAAGCACAGAAGGCAAGAGAGTCGCAGGTTTCGTTGACAATGCCAACAAACGCGTTGGTTCCTGGGATCCTCGCCAGTCTGTACTTAGAACAGTGGCTGCCGTGCACAAGGTTCGTCAAATCTCCCTGGAGACGATGCAGGGGTCAGAAGTGACAGATAACAATGCAAAGAGTCAGCCCTATCATGGTGAAAACAACCCTTCAACCACCTGCTGGAAACAGTGTACAATAAAACCTAATTTTTAAAAAAATTTATTTATTGTTTAATTTACATCTAAGTTAGCATATGGTGCAACAATGATTTCAGGAATAGATTCCTTAATGCCGCTTACCCATTTAGCCCATCCCCCCTCCCACAACCCCTCCAGTAACCCTCTATTTGTTCTCTGTATTTAAGAGTTTCTTGTGTTTTGTCCCCCTCCCTGTTTTTATATTATTTTTGCTTCCCTTCCCTTATTAAAACTTTATCTGGCTACAAAATATATAGTTACTGCTGACAACTGGAAAAATACTTTTTTCCTTTTTTTTTTTTTTTTGGTTTATTTATTTTGAGAGAGGGAGAGAGAGCGCGCAAGAGTGAGAGCCCGAGCAGTGGAGGGGCAGAGAGAGAGGGTGAGAGAGAATCCCGAGTAGGCTCCCCCGCATCAGCACAGAGCTTGACGCAGGGCTCCATCTCACGAACCATGGGATCATGACTTGAGCCGAAATCAAGAGTTGGGCACTTAACCTACGAGCCACCCTGGCACCCCTAAACAGAATATTTAAATAACTAAAGCAAGCATCCTTTTCTTCATTCTTTACCAAGAAAATGTGATAGCCAGCTTCTTGAAATGCCAGATTTGTCTACCACATATAAAACCAAAGATTCAAAAGCAGCATTGTAAAGCATACTCATTCTTTTTTGCATGTGTGTCCAATGTAGTAGGCCAACTATGAAACCCCTTGCTTGTTACTGTGCCAGTCGTCCCCCTCCATGTGCATGGTGAGGATAACCTACCTCTGAGACTTGTGGCACTGAATGGATTCTTAGGGGTCTGGATGGATTTTCCAGAGCCTGGAAGATGCCCGACTCTGCTCTATAAGCAATAATATAGGCTTATCATCCCGTTATAGCTCTAATACCCAGAAATGCTCCAGGTTCCATTTTGGAATAACTTGAGCTGTTAAGAAATTATCCTAATTCATATTCCACTAAAATTTGCGTTTCTGAAAAATTTCTCCCAGAGTATGCTGGCTTTGTCTGCCGAAGACTCAGGAAATCATCATACAAGTGGTAGAAGACACAGAGTACATCAGATTTTCATAGAACAACCTTACCCAGAAGCTTCCTTTGGATTATACTCAAGTGTGTCATTATCTGCTTTAAAGAGAGTATTCCTCAGAAGGGTGTGAAGTCTAAAGAGAGTAATAATGACTTCTTTTGCTTTGAATATACTGTCCTATTAATGTATTCAATTTTAAACTCTTCTATTACCCAATTTTTTTTGAGGGTAGGATTTTCTTTTTTTAAAACATATTTCAGAGTGAGAGGCAGAGTGAGAGGCAGAGAGAGAGAGAGAGAGAGAGAGAACGAACATGTGAGTGTAGGAGGGGCAGAGAGAGAGAATCCCAAGCAGGCTCCATGTTGTCAGTGAGGAGGCTGATGCAGGGCTCGAACTCGTGAACCATGAGATTGTGATCTGAGCCAAAATCAAGAGTCAGACAGATGCTTAACCACTGAGCACCCCCAGGTGCCCCGAGTAGGATTTTCAATCAACCAATACATCTTGAAAATTTTTAACTATACATTTAATGATATACATAACTATTCTAACTAAAAAGCTTACTTCTTGTGAATAACTTTTTCAACATTGGTTCTGTCATTACCCATTTGAGGTTTCCCAGCTAAGATTATTTACAATTTAATAAGAATATTAAGATCTTTGTTTTTTCTTAACATCTTTAATCTTACCTAGGTAAGTTTGCAGTTAAATCAAATACTTAAGAGTATTCTAAGCTACAAAAAAAGAAATTATTTTTGAATGATCTACATGAAAGCTCCCATGTAACTGGGTGGATGACCAAGAAATGACCTAATTTGGCCTTAGGAATTTAAGGAGGCTGCATGATCTCTAGAAGACAGGAAGAGGGGAACACAGGGCACCACGCATATTTACATAAGACTGTGGGAAAGGACTTCAGCAGACATTTCAAAGGGTTTCGACTGGGTGAGTCTTTAAACAAACAAAACCAAAACAAAATACCAAGTGTGAGACCTTAAAACATTCACTGCTCCACTCTGGGCTTTATAGCCCACAATGGTCAGGCTGGTGAGCTGGACTAAAGTCCTGTCCTCTCATTCTATAATTCTCAGGCAATGAAAGAGCCAGGAATACCGTTCAGATATTAACTATTATTTCATTTCATATTCCACAGTGGGATGAGATGTGAGAACGTAAGGATCCACTTACCACAAGGCTAGTGTTGAATTTATAAAACCTTTGGACTGTTCGGTCACTGAAGCTGTTGCACAGGTTTTTCTTTACAAAGTTGGGGTGGTTCAGGATATCGTTTGCTACCAAGGGCTCCTAACAAGGCCAAGTGGACAGAAAACATAGGCCACATAATTAATGAGGCATAGGCTGTGGGCGCACTGTGCTATTGGCTTTGCAACAAGTACCTTGTGGGTAATATGCTGTTGTTCCACAGGTGCATGTCCTTTGGGGTCAATGAGGGTTGGATGTGCCACCAGATAACCCCGGTCCTCCATTATGAAGCACCTGTGTCAAAACACGGGACATCCTTCAGTAATATGAGTGGTTTTTCTATACTGTCAGCATTTATCTTGCTAGCCTTGAAACAAATTGCATTTATCTCAGTGAATAGTCCCTGAGACAAATTCACTGAATCTCAGTAAATGGTCCCTGAGAAAATTCACTGAAGGCAGGCTGGCAAACAGGTAGATAGATCCGTTCTTCTTCTTCTTTTTTAAGTTTATTTATTAATTTGAGAGCGAGCAAGCGGGACAGGGGCAGAGAAAGACAGAGAGGGAGAATCTCAAGAGGCTCGGCACCATCAGCAGCGCAGAGCCTGATGTGGGGCTCGAGCCCACGAACCGTGAGATCATGACCTGAGCCGAAGTTGGGTACTTAACCAACTGAGCCACCCAGGCGCCCCAAGAGATACATTATTCTTGAGGTGGTAGGTTATCTGGTATACAGTTTATGGTAAGAAAGTTACACCTGACTCTGAGGCCACCTACATAGTTCAGACGGAATGTGTCCACTTAGCCAAAGACGGACTGAAAAATCTTTTGCAAGGATATGTAAGGGGCAAGTTTATTCTTTCTTCAGAGGAGAGAGACTCTGAAGGAAGTGGCCTTGGCTATTTAGAGGCACAACGTTTAAGCAAACCATACGATTTCTTCTTTTCATGTTAAATATACATAAAATACAACCTGCAGGGACATACAAAAAATATATTTGATGGAAACACTAAATAAGCAAAGCTGGAATTGCTCTAATCAAGGCTATGTGCTGCCCTATTTTACTCTGCATTTGTTGTAACAGTTTGCTATTACAACATTCCTCATTCCTCATTAAGGGCCAATGTGAAATTTAGCAGTGATGTGAAGCATGGACCATGAGAGTGAAATGAGAAAGCTATTTTTAAAAGTGGCCTGCATTAAATCAAGGGAATACCCTTGCTTTGATGAGACATGTTCTTTTGAAATTAGGAGGTGAAGGCTTTCTTTAGTTCCACGAGCCTCTTTCCGGGGAAATGTAAAAGGGAAAAGTCTAAGTGTCTGAAATCCCCACAAAGACTTTGGCTTAATAACTAAGTTAACATCAAAAGTACCCTCTGGTCTTTCTAGCACCCAAGATATGGGAAACCTTTAATTACGGACTCTGAGAGAAACAAGAGCTTTCAGGGAATTCTGTGCCACGGTCTTTCTCCTTGTTATGAGATGAATCTGTTTGTCTAAATCCTAAATGGCATGCATCTTAGAAAACAAAAAGAACAAAAACCTTCTTAATAGAACACCCAGGCGACGGACTCCATTTCTGGTCTTGACCATGACAATGTGGTTGCCATTCAACTAGAGATGTCTGACAGCACTGTCTTTGTACTTTGCGGCTAAACAGGAAATGGTGTTCCCGAAGGGCTTACCTTATTTTGTTGCCACCATCTTGGTTACAGACTGGCAGTAAGTCCATCAGAACCTTGTAGAAGTATCTAAGCGTGAAGTCAATCCCCATCACAGCCACGGTGTGCCCGGAAGACAGCTGGGTACTTCACGTGAAGAAGATCAGTGAGAACAAGAGGCACATATCTTATTTAAAGGAAAGCTATGTTCCATCACGAGGACGTTGTATGATATTAGAAACATATGCCCCCTATCCTGCCACATTTTTCATCCCTATAAAAATGATCAACTAAATGGCTGATTTAGCGTAATGGAGATTTGATAGGAGAAAACTTAAGGATAAAGGTATAACTTTCTAATAAGATGAGCCCCAAACCCAGGCAGCTGTGGAACATGGCTAGCCCTGGCTTTAGATGTTCAGACAGTGACTGGACTATTCTTTGGCAAGAATATGGGGCTGGCAGGAAGAGGCATCAGGTGGGAGGTTGGCAGCATGACTACCATAGTTCCTCCCAACAAGGAACCTGAGTGATCCCTTTAATTATTTCCCTCATTTCATAGATAAGGAAAGTGAGATCTCATGAAAGTTAACTGACTAGTGTAAGGTCAGACAAAACTACGCCTCATTTTCTTTCTAGAACACTAAGTTTGGCTCTATTCCAAACATAGCTTGGATTCTAGAACAAAACTCACTTGGTTCACAGGCCCGCTCCTTCTCCAGTCTAAAATGCTACTCTCAGAAAGAGGAGCACCCAAGAGGATAAAGTTGGGTACTATATGGTGCTTGCTAACTTTTTAGCTCTGGAATCAAGCAGATCTGGAGTCAAATCCTGGCCCTCTTGGTTCCCATCTCTGTGGTTCCTGGGAGGCTACTTTAACCTTTCCAAGACCCAGTTTTCTTATGTGAAAATGGGGATAGTCTTACCTACCTTGCAAAGGCTTAAATGAGACAGTGTTTACAATGCTTAGCAAGCTGCCCGACCTATCCAAAATACCCAATAAAAAGAAGTTACTCAAAAGAAAACCCATCAGGGCTTAAAGCTCAGGCCTGGACAGAGAGTGAACTTACTATTCTTCCAGACAAATGCTAGCTATAGAAGAAGCATGGACTTCTCACTTGAAGCCTAGGTTCTTTCTAATCTGTGATCATGGGCAGTTGGAGGGGTTTGGGTTACTTGGCCAATGAGCTCCGGGACCTTTGTGGCTGGGAATTGGGTTTACCCAACTTGGGACATTACAGGTGCCCATCATTACCATCATCCACCCATCCACCCAAACACTGATGTCTTTATAAAAGAAAAATGGTGTTGTTATTGACAAAAATCTTAGAAATTTTAAATGGAAAGCTCAGAAGAAAATTCCCAAAGTAAAATCACCTTTTGGAAAATCAAAACCTGGGAGTGAAATCAGCTTTGCTATGTAGGCAACTGTCCCCCTTCTGGTTACTGTCAACATTGATACTAACTTACATAACCTCCAACTCTCTCCCGAAAAAACCACTAGCAAAAGGGACAGTGAAATTTGTCAAAGCTTTGCTGTCAAAACTGTGTTTGGCATGAGATGGAGGAGGGCCATGCTGTGCGATTATTTGAGAGGCTACTGCCTCAGTAAGAGCCTGGAGTATTGTTACCGAAGTAACTTAAATTCTACCACGGGAGAAATCCAAGACTCAGTTGCCTTACACAGGATTTATGTTTTGTAGCAAATCATGTTTTGAAGTATCAGTCAAAAGAAGTTTAAGCCTCTCTTACTTTTCCAGGAGAGAGTGAGGGATCCAAACCATAGGTACCATTATGATAATATTTACTGAGTGGTCAGAACTGATAGGCACTCTGGTGGGCGTTTCAATACATCATTTCAATTATTTCTCACAAAAACTTTATGAGGCATTATCATTTCCAGAGAACTGAAGCTTGGAAACAAAGTATTTGGCCAAAGTCACACAGCAAATAACTAGTGGAAGCAAGAATGGAAGCTCAGTGTCCTCAACTTCAGAGCACACACTCCTAACCGGTGTGTTAATACTGCCTCCTTAGAGATGCAGTACATTCAAGAGTTTCCAAGCAATTTCACATGATGTACTCCATTTCCTGTGACATCATCGGAAAGGAATTACAGCTCCCATTCTATAAGTGAAAAAATTAAGCTTAGAATGGCTTAAAGACTGAAAAAGATTGACCACCTTTTACTTATGACACAGAGACCAGTATGCGATTCTGGTTCGTTCTACAATACTATAGCTGACTCAGTGAAAAATACAACTCAGGTTTTTCAGGACAAGTTGATTTTGTTCCTAAACTTCCCCTATATGATTACCATCGGCTCCGATATGATCAACATGCTGAAGGACAAGCAAGCACGTTGCCCATGTAAGTCTGGTATTCATATTTTTACCTGCATTTCAAAACTGTACAGTTACCATAGCAACACATAAAGAATGCCATAGAAAAATCAGACCAAGCCTACATTTCAAGGTTCAAAGGACCATGCTGTTTGCAGCACTTCCAGGAGATTTTCACTGCCAAAGACTCACCTGACCAGTCCTTTAATCCCTGACTATACTTCATCATCTCTGCTAGCATTACCATTCTCCAAAGAATGCACGCGTAGATTCTCAGGCCGCTAATAATGCTCATGGAAGAATCCCCAGTGCACTTACTGTGAGTAACCGATGAGTGAACGCTGAGTTAGAAAAACCCCTCCCCAAATTATCAGCCAAACCAGTTCTGAAAACCAAGGCTGAAGGAGATTGCTTCCTGGCTAGTTGAATACTAGCTTAAATTCTCTTTTCTGACCTATTAAAATGCCAGAAGTTTAAAGCTGGAATAGGACATTAATAGTAACTGTCATTTATTTGGGACTGCCCATGGTCAAGTGCAGTGCTAGACAGTTCACAGTCATCATAACTGTAATTTCTCATTATATCAGTTCAACCCTGGCATCATCACCCGTTTCATAAATGAGGCTTTGAGAACTCATGGAATATAGTAATATTACAAGTATTTAACATTTATTGAGGCCTTACCATGTGCCAGGCACCATTCTAAGGGCTTTACATATATTATTTCACGTAATCCCTAATCATCTGAGATAGGCCTTAATATCCTTTTTATTTTTGTTATTTTTAAATCTTTTTTTTTTTTAAGTTTATTTATTTTGAAAGAGAGAGATACAGTGTGAGTGGGAAAGGGGGCAGAGAGAGGGAGGGCAGAGAATCCCAAGCAGGCTCCACACTGTCAGTGCAGAGCCTGAGGCGGGGCTTGAACTCACGATCGTGAGATCGTGACCTGAGCAGAAACCAAGAGTCAGACACATAACCAACTGAGTCACCCAGGCACCCCAACCTTAATAACCTTTTTAAAAATATATTTATCGAGAGTGAGCAAGAGACTATGCGTGTGCATGAACAGGGGACGGGCAGAGAGACAGGGAGAGAGAGAATCTCAAGCAGGTTCCAAAACGGGACTTGATTTACAACCACCAGATCATGGCCTGAGCCGAAATCAAGAGTCTGATGCTTAACCAACTGCGACACCCAGGCTACCCCATCCTTCTTTCAGAGATGAGGGAACCAAGGCAAAAAGGAACTCGTTTATAGTCATAGAAGTAGTAAATGGCAAATACACGTTACCAGAGTGGAATCACATCTTAAGAGGAGGTTAGGTTCTCAAGTTGGCCCATGAGACCAAAATCACCGGTAATCGCCTGAACAAAGTACATCCATTAAAGCTACAGTTGCTTTAGTTGGGAACCAGAAGTGGTAGTTGCCCTGTGTTCTCAACTAGGCGGAGTGAAAAATACACAGCTTTAAGTCATAAAAGCATGCTCAGCTAAGGAAGATGTTCAAATGATCAAGTCCACGGGACTGCATATTGATCAAAGCAAGAGCAGATACTCATTCCTGGAATACACTCTCAGTGAATGACTGGTGGCCAGGACCCAGGATTTCAATGGCCACTTTTCACTCTTGTTAAAGTCGAAGAACTAACCTTGGATAGGTTAAGCACATTGTGAAAAGTAGCCAATTAAGGGAATTGAAGGCTTTTCTAACTTGAAATCCCATCATATTTCCATCATGCTTCATTTGGGCTGACATCATAAATATGTATACATTAGCTAAATGAAGCTTCTTTAACCCATTCAAATTTCAACAAAAACATGTACACAAATGTAAAAGAGCACTAAAATCTGCACCTCTCTGTGGCCACCCTCTCCCCCCGACACACACGAGAATACTGTATAGAAGAGATAATGGCATAACGAGGAGCAGGTGGCGGAGTCCGATGGAACAGATACCAAGAAAGACACACACAGGCAGTCATTCTCTTCCTGCCACCCCTACCCCCAACATCTGAAGCCCAGTGCTGGCCCACTGTCATTGTCATCAAAGACCAAGGTGATTCCTGTCTCCTCAAGCCACCTTGTTTACTTTTTCCCAACTGATTAGAATATATGGGAGATGTCAAGTCTTGTTATTCAGACAATAGTAAGGTATGCCTGACAGATGGTCTGTTAAGGAAAACATTGAAAAGTTCTGTTCTAAATAGGTGTTTACTTGTTCATATGTGGCAGAGCCAAAAAGATACCATGCCCTGCAAAACAATCACTGTTTGGCTGGCGGCAGGACCCTGCTTTCCATGGAGACACAGGTCATGATATTGAAATTCCAACACAGTACTGCTTCCCAATTCTTGCTCCCAATGAACTTGCGTTAGAAGAATTCTCCGGAATGTCAATCATTTGATACATAATGAGCACCAGCGAAAAGCATAAAGTTAAGCAAGAAAAATCTGTCTCCCATAAATTTTAAGGCATCATTATAGGTACCAGTCAAAATATGGGCTTTCTTGGTTGCTAGGGAAAAACATCTATTTGTATAATGAAGGGATTAAAACAACGTATGTGACCTGCCTTTCTACCCAATGTTTCACTGACATTTGTCGCTTAAATACTGAAACCTCAAAAGTCTGAAATACAAAGCACCCGGAATGTATTTACAGCCATGCTGACATTTAATAGCATTGTTGGAAAGTCAGTTTTCAAAATGCTTTTTCATTTTTCAAGAGACAGTATAAGGACAAAGTAACAATAACAAAAATAACAAACTCCTATATAATTCTAAGAAGTTAGACCAAAATAAAAGAGGTAATAAAATTGGGGTCTTGATACTTTTTTTTTCCTTCACTACACATGCTCCTTTGCTTGGGAAAGTGCTCTCTGGTAATAACGGTCAGGCTCTTGTTGGGATTTCTTCAATTGGTTAAGATTGGTATTTCTACAAACTGCCCTACGGATTCTATCTTTTTCTTCTTCTAAAGGATCTTCTTCATAATAGGACTAAGAGCTTTTCATTGACTCAATCACATGATGATCTTGTGAGGTAGGTATTATCCCCATTTTACAGATAACAGGAGGAAGCTCAGGAAATCCATGAGGACACAGCTAGAGAAGATATTCAAACCGCAGACTGCTCACATCAAAGATCATGCTTTTGCCACTAATCCTTGGTTGTCTACTCTACTTCCAAATTTTCAAAATATTCTTGAGGTGTTTAAAAAAATGACTAAAATATTAATTAAAATATTACCTGGATGAATGTATCGTGTGACTGATGGTTACTACATAACCAGCTCCTCCAACATCCAAATAAGGGCCAGTCAGAGAAATCAAGCCTGGATTAGCCACCGCATGGAGATACCTAACAGACAAGACAAAGTCGTGTTATTTTTAGGGTATGAAAAAACTCTCTAAATTTCAAAGAAAAGTGAACTTGTAAAAAAAAGTTTCTGAATTTATATATGTTCATTTTTTCATAGGTCATATACGAGCTATAATTTGATGCCATGATCATGTGCAGTGACATTAAATATCCCCACTATGGGCATATTACATACAAGGTAAGACTGAAACAAAATACCCAAAGGAATAGAAATGGCCAAGTATAAAACATCTCAGTCTCAAAATTTCAATAAGAGATGAAAACACTGTAGACAGAGGAAACCCACAAATCTGTTAATACTGCATTAAAAAAAAAAAAGATTGAAAAACATGTTTTCACTGTCATAAAAGTATCTTCTTTAATGTGACTGCCTGAAGTTGCTTTATTGTATGTACTTATCATGTCTCTCCAGGATTTGGGGGGGAACCTTTGATAATGGAAGCTCCTAAAACTCACCATTGTCTCCTAGTGGGATCAAATGCTTTGTCCATGAGGGAACCAGGATAAATTCTGAGGACGCCATTGGGTGTTGCTATGTAACGGCGGACAATGTACGTGTTCAGGCTACTCATTTCCATTTGTGTCATCCATTCATCTGTGACGTGGCTGGTGGCCATTACTTCATTCCTGACAGAGAACTGGGAAACAAAGGAAGACATGGCAGGGATCCTTTAAGACTCACATGAAAAGAGAGTGGGCTGCTGGCAGGGCTTCCTAAAGCTCTCTTGCAGAGAAGCCAAGCCCAATTACTTCTTAAAAATCTTTCCACAGCAGATGGATACAGCCAAACTTGGTGAAAACAAAAGCTCCCTGAAACATAGTCAGTGGATGTGTGATTTACTCGATTGTTCATCCTAGTGAGGCTTTCTGCATTTAAGAAGAAAGATCCTATAGTGAAGCATCAAACACACACACACACACACACACATGCACGCACACGCACATCCCAGCTAAATCTCTCCTCTTTAAACTTCGTCATGTTTATCTCAACAGACCATAGGGGCACTTTACTTCTTTCCCCTGGGAAAAATGGGGCTGGGAAAGTTCCACTGATCTCTAAGTCACACCCCCCTACCTAGAAAACTCCTAGTGCATCTAAGGCCTGAAAGAGATTCTTCATCTGGCCCACAGGGCTTCTTAATCCCTCGGTAGGGTCATCGCCGACCAGCCTCCCGGGGGCCACACGCTGTCTTTCTGGCTCTCCAGCTGAGAGGCACAGATCCAGAGCTGGGCTTCCCACTTCAAAGGTTCACTGACAGTGCCCCCTCTCAGGCCTGTGGAGGGGGTACGGCAGAAGTGGGGCCCCAGGCCAGCACTCACTTTGAGCCCTGGGTTAGCAATGAGGCGGGTGTTGTCACTGAGATAGGCCGTGTAGTGTTCCACCATTCGCTTTGTCTCTGGCTGGCTGAGGTGTTCGTATGGGGAGGAAAAGCTGCCAGCAGACAGCATGACAGTTGGACTTTCTGAAAGAGAAGCAAACAAAGCCAGGCCTGAGAACACGGAGACTTCATCTCAGGCCCAAACAAAAGCATCGCTAAGGCTCTGCCAATCTGTTAGCTATGGTGGCCTCAAGTCTTCCACAGGGAGAGCAAAGAACTCAACACTAGGAGCTTAGAAGGAAAAAGCCCTCATTCTCTCCCCTCAGGGAGTTTATAGTCATGAGTGAACCATAAGAGATACACGTACAAATAGATACAAGTGCCTAAAATGCAAATGCTCAAAATCTTTTAAGTCTACACATAGTATCTCACACTTACTAGGATTAAGGAACAGCATAGCACATGGAGCCAGACTAGGTTGAGTCTCAGCTCGACCATTTCCTGGCCACGTGATGGTGGGTAAGTTGTAATGTATGTGATGCTTCTGTCATCTGCAAAGTAGGCAATTATAGCACTAATACATCAGTGAATTTATGTAAAGCAAATGAGTTGATAAATGTAAAGCTTGTAGAATGGTGCCAGAGCACGTCACAAATGCCTTGTGTTAACTACGACTGTCCATATTGGTACCAATATTTCAAAGGAAGGAAAAATGGAATTGTGGAGTCAATGCAAAAAATCAAATAAAAAAATTCTTCGCATAGACAGGGATAGCCAAACTTGGCATAAACAAAAGTTTATAGACTGGTTACTGTAGGTATGATTTAATTGTTGGTCCTAAGAGGAAAACCCAGTTTGATCTATTTAAGCCCCAAATCCTCACAGTGAATTACATTATGAAACAAAAACCGACGTTTCTGTGAAATTTCTTACTTCAATTTTACATTTTTAGACTCTTTAGGAAAGCACCAGTCATGTGTCCAATCTCAAATCTGTAGGTCATTTTCCATTCTTTTTGTTAGTTCTCACTCATGGTATCTTGTTTCCTTATGGCCTGGCTACCTCTGACTGTGCAGGACATGGCATTTAAAAATAAATTTCTGGAAAGAGTTGAATCCTAACAGGATGAGGGAGTCCTTCCTACAGAGAGGACTGTTGTTTGATTCTGCCAGGTGCCACACCCCAAGATGAGGCAGGGTGGGTAGATGGAGACAGTTCTCAATAAGATGACAGGGTACCAGTCTAAGAGCTGCACTATGGGGCTTTGATATTCAACATTCAACTAGTCCATGACTAGTTAATGTGTGAGTTTCCTTAGACCACTCAGATGGTAGGAATCAAGTCAAGGGCTTCTTTAGTTTCAATTCACACTTACCCTAAAGATGGAGGGTAACAGAGGAGGGGCAGAGAGAGAGAGGGGGAGACACAGAATCTGAAGCAGGCTCCAGGCTCTGAGCTGTCAGCACACAGCCTGATGCAGGGTTTGAACTCACAAACTGTGAGATCATGACCTGCACCGAAGTCAGATGCTTAACTGACTAAGACACCCAGGCACCCCCCCCAAAGCACAGCTTAATTTCACAGTTGTTTCTCCTGGATTGGTAAATAGGTGCATTGCAAATGTGGCTTTAACAGTGGCCTCCTTCTCTGGGTTCTTCTTTTCTTCTAGACTTGGATCCAATTTCTAGCTACCATGTTAGTTCTTTGATACTTTTCAGGAAGATTTTTTTTCCCCCTCAAGTTGCTATCCATTTTCGGTTATCCTCAGTAGGACAGGTCAGAATTATGTAGTCTGCTAATATCAAAAGATACTGCTTCCAGTAATGCTAATTCTCATGATACCACCATGGCATAGCCTGGGAGATTAGTGTTATATTCCTATCGAGGAGAAGAAAACAAAAGCTTAAAAAGGTAAGTCTGCCTAGCAGTGTGCTGTGGATTCATGTGCATATGCTCATGAGGTCTTCCGGGCACAGATGCGCCAGAGAGGGAGGACTGTCCTCGAACTCAAAGAACTTAGGAGCCGGTTGGAGAGACCAGAAATTTTTTTAAAAAAGAAAAACAACAAAATAAGAATTATACAATAATATAAAAAACACCAAAATGCTTCAGGGACAAAAGAGTAGGGCCAAAGGAGAGACACTGAAAGTGGGCCTTTCTTGTAGTGAAAGAGACTGGGCATTTGCGCAAAGGCTGACGCACTTTGAGGGAGAAATGCAGATTGAGAGAGAAAACTTAAAAAAGTCCTCTTTGTGTACCGAGAGGCCCTCTTGATGGGGGTTCTGACATATATTTAACACTTTGCCTCAAAATCCCTATCATCGATAGGGATTTGCCAGTTGTCTAAGGAGCCTTAGTCACCTTTCTGAATCCAAACAATTTCCAACAGTGAAGAAGAGAGTGCTTGTTTCGCAGTACTAGGAGTCCTGCATGAATGTCCAGTATGTGCCTGGCACATGGTGGCATGCAATAAAAGGTGGCACCATGGCACAGAAGGAGCGGGAGTCACATTTCAGCCTTGCTACTTTCTGAGGGAGCTTGGGAAAATTTTGAATTCTGATAAATCCACATGTCCTCATCTACAGGAGCTAATTGCTTCCTTTGAATTATCTGCCTATTTCCTACGCTCTTTTGGAGACAGGGGCCCGCGATAGATACAGGTATGCTATGTAGATATATGGGCGTGCTACCCTCGAATCCCACTTACTATTTCTCCACGTCTTACCCTGTAGCCCTCTATCTCCTTGTCTCCATATCTTTGGGTTGGCCTCTACTGGGCCAGACTGGTGACTATCTGACTGACTGCCTTTGGGCTACAAAAACCTCTCCGCCTAGCATTAGCAGAAAGCTGAAAGATACAAAGGAATATGAAAGTCCAGCTCCCTCTCCTGTCTGGGCAAACTCTGCAGTGTAATTTACACTCCAAAGCCCCGCTACGGGATTAGGCTGAGGCTGGGACTTCACCGAAAATCCAACTCTTGCTTGCTTTCTCCTCCTTCGCTATCCTGTTTCCCCTCACTTCTTCCCTAGTTTCTTCTTAGAGCCCATCCTTAATAAATCACCAACACACAAATCCTCATCTGCTGGAGAACCGGACCCAAGGCAAGGCCTCATACGGTTTTCACATTTGTATCCCCAAACTAGCACTGCTGTCATTCAACATCCAGGTGTTTTTTCGTTTTTGTTGTTTTAGTTTTTTTCCCTCTAAATTCAAGCAGGTATTTATCGTGAGCTGCTATGAGTAAGCCCACCAAGGAAACTGCAAAGTGCAAAGGCCTCACCTAGAGTCGCCAGCTGTTTGAAGTGAAGGCAGGCGCTAGGCTGGCCCAGGAGGTCCAGCCGGTGGTAGAGCAGCTTGCTGCTGGGGACGGTGTTGAGGTTTTTCAGTTGTTTGACGGGTATTTCCGGTTGTATCACCACAATACAGAGAATAAAGGAAGTGTCTTGTACCTGGAAAAATCAGTAAAGAATTTCTAATCCAGAAAACACAGGTTCCTAGGGGTAGTGACTTCACCTACATTATTTTCTGCTATCTCTGTCTCTATCCCACACAGAAAAATATTTGATGAGTGAATGAAAGCTGCGAGGATGGGGTGAGAGAACATATCTCTGGCAAATGACTACATGTTCTCTTTTCCTTTCTGATGGAGGGAAAAGAACGTATGTAACAGAAAATCCTGCAGCTAATGAAGGGATTACAGAATAGTCCCTTTGGAACAGCAACCCTATGGCCTTTTTGCTTATTTAAGCTGACAAATACAGCATGGCATGAAAATACAGCACTTACTTCTGTTTGGATTTGAAATGTATTTCAAAATATATAGTTGGTTTTGCAATGAGTATTCCAAGAATTGACTACTTCAAAAGCCAATTCTGAATTTATGTACGCAGCCCATATAGAATCTGGTTTATTCATTGTATTCCCGACTAATGCTTTCTCCTTTCCTGGTTGGAGATGGACAGGATCTCAGACTCGTGAAAAGTACAAATCCCATGGCTGCCTCACAAAGCCTGCCTAACTTATCATTTCAGACCAGAATAGGCAAATGTACCGTAGCTCAGCCTAATTTATCAAGCTCCTATGTACAAATAGGAATACTTCCAAACCCATTTGGCTCTTAGAAATGGACACATAAGTAAAGTTCTTGGGATAAACCGTCTACCAACGAATCAAAACCGAGGCAAGCTACTTAATTCTAGTTTCTTAAAGTTAAAAATACAAGACAGCCAAACTTCTGTAAGTCCGTTAAAGAAGGAGACAGGCCGAATCTATCTGAAAGATGGTTTGTCAACAAATGGAAAGGGTGATAACCAGAACTAAGTTAAAACCACAGGACAATGAGAAGTAATGCAGCCCAAAGGATTAATTTCATGATCAAGGAGAAATTTAAGTAGGCAGGTTAAAGTATAATTTAGGGTTTATGAAGATGGCTGCAGAATCTCTTTAAACATGGGAGAAATTTGCATCTTCCTGGAACTGCTGTCAAGGATATTCAGTTAGATTAGCAAATTTAATTCTCTTCCTCCACCCACAAATTAGAAAATAACAGTGTTCTCAAGTGGCATTTACTATTTCCCCTCTTCCCAACGCACGCAGTCACCTTTGTGTGCTGTGTTACATGTTCCAAGGAACCAAAAGACAGAACACTTTGCCAGAAGGACCAGAATTGTAGGATCGGGTCTGTTCTATAAGAGAACAATTGGAAGTTACCCTAAGCATCTACACCTGGGTGGCTCAGTTTGTTGAGTGCCCAACTTTGGCTCAGGTCATGATCTCACGGCTCATGAGTTTGAGCCCCATGTCGGGCTCTGTGCTGACAGCTCAGAGCCTGGAGCTTGCTTCAGGTTCTGTGTCTCCCTCTCTCTCTCTGCCCCTCTCCCACTCACTCTCTCTTTCAAAAATAAATAAAAATGTTTAAAAAAAATTTAAAAAGTTACCCTAAGCATCTAAAAGAAACACTTCAATAGTTCTTAGTTGGAAAGGAAAACCGATTCCAGTACAGGTCTTCTTATTGTGTTCTTAGCTGAAATAGTCTTTGCATTAAGGAACCATGATGTATCTAGAAGGGCTCTCCAGCACCGGGGAGTGTTTTTTTTTCACTGATTGCCCATGGGACTCACGTTTTAAAGTGAGCCATTCCTGTGTCACACAGGAACACTGTAATATCTTCTGAAGTCAGTACTTTCTTCTGTCTCAGCATGCAGTCTCCTCAAATGCTCATAGATGGACTTGAGCTGCACAGTGACAGGGTAGTAATCTCTTAATGCTAACATAATCTCTCACATTCTATTTAAATTAAGTCAGTGAAATATAATCCATAAGTATCTGCTGTATCTATGGATGCTAAGCAGTTCAAATAATTATTCTCAATATAAGCTGAATCTATTTGAATTACATTTAGTAGAAGAATCCATTTTATTCCTGAAGACGGGGGGAGTATATGTTCCCCCCCCCCCC